GGATACCCGGTGAAAGCGCTGCTACAAATCTAGTCCCACTAGGCTTAACAAGAAAAGGGCCAACGCACGAGGGCGAGAACCGTATGAAGCAAAAGGCGGGACAGCCTTGTGCAAGGGGCATTTCTCGCAGTCCTCGCCACGAGCTTGGGAGTGTGATGGGCAGTACATGCAGTAGCTTCCGGTCTCCGACACCTCGACGTCATCGCCGTAGTGCTTGTCTGGGACCTGCTGTGGAAAGAAGCAGCCGCAGCGTGCGGTGGTGCCATTCAGCAAGGCCGTTTTCTCGCAGTGGAGACTTGGAGGGCTCACCGCACGAAGGCCAGAGGTTCCTGAAGCAAAGGTCACGCCCTGGGCACAGGCAGGGCAGGACACCTGCACAGTTTCGGCTTCAAAGCTCGGGGCAGTCAGCAACTGGATCTCATGGATGGCTTCCAGGTACTCGACAGTGATGTTCCGGAGGCGAGTGTGTGCTGTGGTCTTTGCAACAGCCGCGTGAGACGTCCTGAAGTGCACATGCGCGATCTCCAGGGTCTCGTTGCCGCAGGGCTCCACGGACAGCAGCGCAGAGGAGACGCCCATGCCAACCAAAGCGCCCTCCAGGTGGAGCGACGGAAAGTCCACACCAGCAACATGCGTAGCATGGCAGGAACAAAGCGCATTTTGCACGGAGATGCCCACCTCGGTGGCGGCGTCCAGCGACAGCGTGGACTGGCTGAGCAGCAAACAGCGGGATGCCAGGGCGCTCTTCCCCCAGAGGTTGTGTAGGTGAACTGCAGAGTTCGCAAGGCGCAACGGCCCACCCACAAAGGCTCCGCTGCCAAGCACAGCGTCGGCTCCAGGCTTAGCCGGCTGAGCCATGCTGTCCAGGCCGGCAACCCACAGCTCCGAGTTCCAGGCCTCGAGCTCCTGAGCGAAGAAGCCGCCGCCCCGTTCTAAAGCACTGCCGGAGATGCGCACCTGAGCCCGAGACAGCGTCACTTTGTCAGCGTGGAAGCCGCCGCCATCGACGTGTGCCACGCACTCCGAAGCCTCCAGCATCGAGTCCGAAAGCTCCAGCTTCTGAGACCAAACACATCCACCGTTCTGTCCAGCGCTTCCGTTCCGGATGACAATTTCGGAGCCCTCGCTGGCACTGACGGTCTCTGCCGCGAACGTGCCTCCATTCTCCTGCGCTCGGGAATTCTCCGCTTCCAGCCGCGACTGCTTTGTGACACGGAGCGTGCGCTCAACGACAAAAGCGCCGCCCTTGAGCTTGGCGTCGCTTCCCGAAACTGTCAGAGTGGAGCTGCCAGCCACTACAACGAACTGATAAGTGTAGAAACCTCCTCCCCTGGCTGCTGAGACAGCCTGAAGCTCCAGGCGGGAGCCCTCCACGATCTTCACACTTTCAGAGTTCAGGCCGCCGCCCTCGCCGCCTGCCATGGCATCAGACACCAAGAACCGGGACCCGTGGGCCACGACAACGTCGCCAAGGATGTATGCGCCTCCTCCGTCACCTGCTGCAGAGCATCTCTCCAAATGAACGACGGACTGGTCCGTCACACGCAAGGATCCAAGAACTTGGAGGCCACCACCTTTGCCTCCTGAAGTGGCATCCGAGATGGCCAGCTGGGAGCGTCCGGTCACTAGCACCTCGCCTGCTCTTGTTCGGAGGCAGAGGCCACCGCCGTCACCTGCCTGGGCCGTGCTCCTTGAGACTCGCAGAGTTGAGGCACCAGCAATCTGCACAGAAGCAAAGGCTCCGAAGGCTCCGCATGGACCAAGAGTTTTTGCTTCGTGGATGCTAAGCATGGAGCCATCCACTACTTCAAAGCCTTTTTCGGCATTGAAGCCCCCAAACTGCTCCACAGCAAAGGTCCTGAAAAGAGTGATCTTCGAGTGGTTGCCGACGACCATCCGTCTCCACACAGTAAATGCCCCCACATACCAATCAGCTGTCGTGTTCTCCAGCTCAATCACAGACGAAGAGACTTGCAAGGAGCCGACGTCGAAACCACCACTGCGTCGTCCAGCCCGGGCATTCAAGACTTTGAGCACAGAGCCAGCGATCCTTAACTCACCTTCTTGACGTGTGCTGAAACCTCCAGCAATGTTTTTTGCCGTACACTCCTCGACGTAAACTCTCGAATCTACAATGCTGACGTGACTGCTCCCCCCATAGATGGAAGCGACGAAAAAAGCACCCGAGCTTGCCGCCTTTCCACCGCGGACGGTCATCAAGGAACCAGTGAGCTCCAAAGCTCCGCAGCAAAAGCCTCCACCAAAAGATTCGGCCATGCTGTCGAGGATGTACAGGGAGGCATTGATCAAGCGGACTGCTCTATCGGACACGAAGCCACCGCCGTCAGCTGCGTGGGTGTGCTGCAGCCACATGGACGACTGCTCCTCGAGTGGACGCAGACGCAGTCAAACGGGATTTTCCTACGTTGATGGTTCCTGCAGGCGCTCTGCCCTGGGAACGTCGGGACGAGCACACAAAAGGGATTCTTGCAAAACTGGCTTGAGGCTGCATAGGTCCGCATGCTACATGATTCCGAAGTTGCAGGATATGCACTTCTCCAGCCAAATTTGCAGGCCCGGTCCATGGTGACTCCGCCAGTGGTGTAGAAGCCGCCGCCAGAGCCTCGCTTGAGCTGCGCAAATTCCATTAAATCCCCGAAGTCCCTCGTAAATGCCCCCCCCTCCCCCAGCTAGCAGGACAGCGGCCCGTGCTTTTGTAAGAGCTTCACCTGCACAATCCGACCCGACCCCTCGATTCTGACACCAAATAGGGAAGCTGGTAACTTGCCTCTCCCATAAGGTGCTGTTGAGGGCCAATCAAACATGCCTTCTAGGCCCATAAATACCAAAGCCGAAACCTTGAACTTGCCGGGCAACCTGCCAAAGCTGCGGTGCCGACAATGGACACGGTCGACTGGAAAAGCACCCTCGGCTGGGGCTCTGGGGCTTCATTGAAGTGTTGCATTTTCTTTGAAATCACCCCTGCGGCCTTTTCTGCCAAGCCTCAGCTTGGTGGGAGAGGTTACAAGGATTCGGCTGCCAAAGTTGCCATGTGAACTCTCTGCAGGCCACAGAGTGAAGGAGCAAGAACAACAACGCACTGAAAAAAGACTTCAAAAAGTGCTAGCTGAAACTAACGCGTCCAAATGCAAACGCAAAGGTGGCCAAGCAAAGCACCACATGCAATACTTGTAGACGTAAGGACAACAAGTAGATGCTGCCAGTGGCAAGTATTGACTACGTCCAAGGACTGTAATGGCTTCTCAACGAAAGCTGACATGATGAAAGCCACCATGCCATAACATCTTGAGAATGGTAAACATGACGACCCACCAAAACTTGATGATTCAAAAAACCCTAAACCCCAAAGTCCAACCCCTAAACCCCAACCCCTGGGTTGCGAAAAGGGTTCCGCTTCTTTGAGTCAAGCCTCAGATCTCCAGCATAGAAGCCACCCCCCTTATGCGCTTTGGTGCCAGCAACCTGAGCCAAAGTCGGCTTTTACGAGACAAAGGCAAGCACGGCTTAGGGTTTTGGGCGCTGGCACGGCTTCCACTCAGTTTCAGCATGTGCATGGCAGCAGTAAGAATCATGACGGTCACCAGTTTAAGGTCAAGGGTTGAGGGTTTCGGGCTTAAGGAATTTACAGCTTAGGGCTTATGCGTTTTTGGGAGACCCGCGCAGCAGTTCGCACTAGACACAGCAGGCAACATGAGTCGCTTACGGGTTTTGGATTGAGGGTTGGCGTTTGGGATTGGCTTGGGTTCGCAGTTGTTTGAAGACCACGCCGCCCACGTTGCTCAGCGCCCTCCCCAAAGCAACCCAACAAAATTCAGGAATTCCGAGACACGACATGATACTAACTGTAGTTCATCAGGGTCTGTGGGGGAGCCTCAAAATTGGAAAAAATGCACACTTGGGCCAGGCAGCTGTTAAATTTGACCTCCTGATTGTGACGACACTGCCAGCAGAGAAAGCTCCGCCCTCCTCAGTGGTCTCATTGCCCGACATCAGGACCTGCGCATCTTCCAACGTCAGGGACCTTAGGCGCCAGAGTTCCCGAGCCCCCAACCCTCAACCCTCAGCCCTACAAACCCCCTAAGCCCTTAACCCTCAACCCCATCCGAGGCACCCGGTGAGTTGCAGGCGCAAGGATTCGAGGCGCAGCTGGCCGGTCAGGAAAATTTCGCCGCCCACCAAACTTTGACCGTTGCCCAGCAGCGACGCAGCCTGGCCAAAGCCCCTCAAACAAGGAATTCACTTTTTTTGCATCCAGGTCTCGTAGGCTCAAACGAGGAATACACCTGAAATCCTTATTTCTAGGTTGAGGGTTTGGGGAGTATACCCTGTGAATCAGTCTACCAGGATTCATCTAAATTTAGGGCCCGCCCTGTAGCGATCTGTGGGGTGGGGGACTTTCGGACCGACCTTCAAGGGGTTTCGGGTCTCTCTGACTCTGAGAGATGATGCTGGCCATCGCAGGAGCCACGGATTGCAGGAATGAGGGCTGAACGAGCTTAAGGTTTAGGGTTTAACGTTCAGG